CTTTTCCCTCCATCTCTCCATCCCGCTGGGACCCTGGACATGCGTGTGCTTGTGCCCGGCGTGTTGCCACGGAGGAGGGCCGTGAGCCACAGTCAGCCACGTGGGGTCTGGCTCCCGAAGCTGCACCGGGCTGTCTGCCGCGGAGGTGCCGCTGTTCACGGTGGTTTCTCGTGTGCGGGGTCCTGCTTTAAGACAACGTAGCTGACATACTGAAAACGAGAACTGGGTGGTGTCTAACGTGCAGTTCTGGTAGCCTTTGGCGACAGTCTTTGTGTTAAGAATGCAGCTTTAACATGTAATGTCGCAGGCCAGCTTGTGGCATGGCGGTGAAGGCACTGGATCCTGCCAGGCCGACCATGTAGTCTGAGTCCCAGGCGTGGCAAAAACACACCAGGCACACGTGCACGTGTGCCCCAAATCCCAGAGGTGACCGTGCCCCATGGGGGCGGTTTCTCACTTTCCCCACCCTCTCTTTCTCTCTGGTGAGCGCATGTTCCCTCTGACAAAATTTAAAAAACCAAAAAGTCTTATTTACCGTGGACCTTGACGTTAGCCTGGGAAGTCTAAGCGGTGCACGAAGGTGACACCTTTTTATACAGTTGGAGAATCTGATGGCAGGGCTTATTTTTTCTCTTCATAAGTCTTGTTTTCTCTTTCCCAGGTAGGGGTTGGGTACGGATGGTTCTCTGTGGGTGTCCTGGAATCGGTAATGTGCACATTTCCAGGGTCACCTTGATGGGGTAGGCCGAGTAGGAGAGAAGCCGTAGCAGCAGGTGCTTGGGCGGAATACCGCCGTCCCCTTAGAGTCACCGCGAGTCTCCCGGTGGGAACGGGGCAGACCAGATGCGAGAGCTTTGCAGGGCTTCAGCCAGTGGGGTGTGATCTCCGCTCCTGGGAGGGTCGGCCGGCATGTGACCTGCGTGTAGTTTGAGCATCAGGTGATCTGTTGTGAGCAGGTACGGGGCGTGAACGCGGGCCGTCCCACGTGGCTCCAGTCTCATGTGGTGGCGCCATGCCTGCGTCACCGTGGCTGGGCCCCTGTGTGTTTAGAAAGGCAGTCAGCATACACGCTGTGTTTTGTTTCTTTGTCTGGAGAGGTTTTTGCTATAGGAAAGAGTCAGTGGGCGGGCCCTGGGGTGTCATCTTTGGTCGCAGGATTCATAACCTTGATTGGCCGTGTCCTGGGTCCCCTCTTTGCTCATTAGTTCAGAATGTGCCCCTGGATTCGCTCCTAACGTCTGACTAGATTTCGGTTCTGGAAACATTTCCGTATTCTCCTGATGACGGTTTTGAAGTTGCAGCTCTTCGAGGTGTCCCTTGGTGTCCCCATTGTCATGTCATTTCACTGTTGTCTCTGGGAACCTATTTTTAGCTACAAACAGAGCAAGCTGCTTGATCTCTTAGGTGAAGGAGAAGGTTGCTGTGTAGAATAATGGCTTATCCACGGGGTCGGGGCCCTGCGGGCAGACAGGTGGGCCCCACCGCCATACCCTCCCGCTCCCCTCCCGCGCCCGCGCGCCCCGCCGCGCCCCCCCCCCCGCCATACCCTCCCGCTCCCCTCGGCCTCGGGCTTCCCGTGGGCGGGTATCTCGCCTCCCGCCTGCTGTGGGCCGAGCCGTGGCGCTGCGGGTTCCCAGTGGGTGGGGTCTCCGTTTGAGCCCCACAGGAAGGTTATTTCAGATCCCAGGTTCCCAGGGGAAGCGTCTGGGGGCCGGGTTGGGTCAATTTCTGTCTTCATCGCTGCATTCTTAGCAGAAATCCTGAAGACGGGGCGATTCTATGAGGGAACAGGTGGGTTCTGCTCTCGGGTGGAGGGCCGGGGTGCCTGTCTGGTGAGGCTACTGCCTGGCAGGAGGGCAGGGTGTGGAGCGGAGGGGCCTTCTGTGAGTCTGCATCTCGTTCCTGCTGCTTACTGCCCTCCAGAACTGTCCCAGGGCCCTGCCTTGGTGGCCTGTCACATCCCGAAGCCCCGCGTAGGACACAGGGAGGGGGTTAAGTCTTCACCCAGCACCTTTGCGATGCGTCCGCACAGTCACGTCCCGACACGTGAACCCCTGCGGGACACCGCCCACCGCCCACCAAGACCCAGCTCAGAACGTGTACACGCGGCGTTTCACACGCGGTGGCCGTCGTCCCTCCTACCTCTGCAGTTCTGTGTCCTCGTCACTGTCCCACTCTCACCGTCCCCGCCCCTCCCGGCCCGCAGTGGTCGCTCCAGCTCGACTTCTGTGAGGTCATTTGAAAAGTGGCCCGTCCCAGAGAGCTGCGCAAGGCTCTGTGCTGGATCACCGGGTCGGCGTCCTTCTCCGCGTGCCTCGCAGTCGCTGGGGTGGGGTTTGAGCGTTCTCGACAGGGCTGGCAGTGCCCGTGAGGACGGCTGTGCGGAGCGCCCTGATCTAATCATGCCACTTAGAAGCCGTGTCTGAAAAACCGGGTCGTACCCAAACACGGGCCGTCAGTGTGTCCATAAAGTAAGGAGTAGGAAGCTCCTCGGAGCCGGTTTGACTCTCTGCGTCCCCCAGAAACGCCGGGGACAGGAGGCTCCGTGTGGGCCGAGCGAGGGCTCGCCAGGCCCTGGGGAGTGGGGGTGCACGCCGAGACCCCTCCGGCACGTCGGTGTCCCGCGGCGTCCCACGGCAGTGGCGTGGGCTGAGGCCGTGCATCCTGGGGCTGAGCGCGTGTCCTGTTGGTGCTCTGGAGGCCGCGTCTCGATGCCGTGTGCCCACGGAGCCCCGCGGCCGTGCCGGCAGTGCAGCCCACCACCATCGGTCTGCGGCGTGAGTGTGCCGGCGTCCAGGGCACAGCCGGGAGCCCGGTGCGTGTGTGTCAGGGACACAGGTCCCACCCGTGCATGGATGTTTGTTCGTGTCGCGGGGCAGGTACTGGAGGACATGAACCCAGAGCTGGACGTTTAAGCTGCTGCCTCTGGTGCGTGTTCGCAGGGCCGTGCGTCACTCCCTCCCGCCCTGCCCCTGTTCTCCCTGTCAGGGTAGAGACGGCATGGCCGGGGAGGGAGCGTGGTGCATCCCCACCGCTCCGGAGCACCATCTGGGCGCCCGGTGCAGAGCCCACTGTGTGTGCAGAGGGCTGACGGTGCTCCCCTCTGAGGGCCACCACCCTGACAGTCCCCACGGCCCAGGGACACATCCGCCCAGGCAAGCGTGCGACCCCTTCTGCCTCAGTTTCAAGGACCCAATGTCTCAAAGGTTCAGCGGCCTCTTCTGTCCAGTAGGGCCCTTTCGTGGGCTATGTCAGATTACATTGTCACCACAGACGTGGCCGAGTGCCTTGGCCTCTTCAACCCGCTACAGACCAAGCTGGCAGTCAGGGTAGGAGGGTGGGGGCTGCCTTAGAACTAGGAACCTGTTTCTCCAAGGGCACTTTTTTTTTTTTTTAAATAGGATTTTTGGTGATTAGGCATGTGTGTTTGCTGGAGAGACAGAGGCAGAAAGAGGCCCCCCACCCGGGCGGGGATGGCCACGCTGCAAGCCCTTCTCCATTCTCCTCAGGATCTCGGGAACCAGCAGTTAGCGTAATGGCTGTGTCGCTGGACTCCCACGTAGTCGACCGCGGTTCGTGTCCCGGACCCGGTGGCTTAAAACTCACGCTGGGCGCGTGTGCGTGCGTGCCCAAGATCCCGAGAGGAGAATGGAGGAGAAGGGATTGCGGCGTGACCATCCCCCCTGGGGGGTGATTTCTCGCTTTCTGTCTCTATGTCTCTCTCTGTCTGTCTGGCGAGCGCACGCGCCCTATAGCAAAAAAACCAAAAACAAAAACAAACACCTCTCCAAAAAAAAGGATCTTGGGCATGCGCGCGTACACACACACACTCACACACACGTGCCCGGTGTGGGTTTCAAGCCTTTGGGCCAGGATGCAAACCGTGGTTGGCCATCTGGGAGCCCAGTGACGTAAGCAATACGCTACCTGCCGGCCCCCAAAGACAATGAAATGAGTGAAAAAGAAGCCACAGAGTGGAAGGAGGTGTGGCCGCACACAGCCCTGCCGCATTTCAAATCATCTCTCGAATGTACCTCTAGGACACGCTCGTGGCCACACTCCTTACAATGGCCCCGACCTGGAAACGCTTCAGGTGACTTGCAGCCCCTGGGACGGCCGTGCAGGGGACACTGTGCAGGGGTAAAGCCGAGTGACTGACTCTCTCAGACGTGCACCCAAGTCCGGCCGGAAGGACCCCACTGCGAAGGGCTCGCTGAGCAGGCACAGCTGCTCCCGGTTCCCAGCCTGTTGGGGTGTGCATGAGCATTTGAGTTGGCCCTTGCAGGCCAGCCTCCAGAGCAGAGGACGTGGGGACAGAGGACAGATGGGGTGGGGGGGCAGCTCAGCGGCACAGGGTCCTTGTGGCCACACTGGCCGGGGATGCTGGTGGAGAAGTTTGAGGCAAACTGCTTAGAAATAGGGTCACGACCTTTACTCTTCCCGGAGGTTAAGGGGGCTGTACCTTACACGGCAGGCTGACCGTGGTTCTAACTGCAGCTCCAGGGGCTTGAACACACCAGGCTGAGCGTGTGCCTGACATCCGGGAAGGGGAGACCGGATGAGCGGACTGTCGCGCGAGCATGCCCCGTGGTGGCGGTGACTTCTCCTCCCGACAACCGGAAGAAGGCAATGGAGTTGTACCTGCCCGTCTGTTTCTTGTTTTGCAGGATGGATTGCTATCCTGGGCGCCATCTGGCTGCTGATTTTAGCCGACATCCACGATTTCGAGATCATTCTACACAGGGTGGAGTGGGCCACGCTCCTGTTCTTCGCTGCACTCTTTGTGCTGATGGAGGTGAGGCTGGGACTTTTGCACGACCTGCTACCCTGTTTCTGTCTCAGACCTTTCCACGGGCAGAAAGCCTCTGTCTGCAGGTCCCCACGCCCTCGCTAAGTGCAACGGCGGAGGTGGCCAGGCCATCCTACGTAGCGGTGGCCGCACTCTTTACGATGGCCCCTCCCAGGGTCGGGCAGACCAGCGTCCGGCCGGCTCAGTCCTGCCCGCGGGGAGGACTCCCGAGCCTCGGCTGTGTCACCAGACAGCAGTGTCTGTCAGTCTTAAATGGGACCCATCTCCGTTTTAATCTTGGATGTCCATTTAAATATTTAGCAATTTAGTCCTCCTGCTGA